CTTATTGCACTGATGTAGGGTGGGAAGCCATACTGTGGCACAGTAGTCCAGGTGAGTTGTTATCATGGTGTGGTAAATTGTCAGGATGATGTCCTTGGAGACTAAGTCCCTTGCCCTTTTTAGAGTGCCAAGCCCAGACAGTAGTTTCCCTGTGACCAGGCTGACATGTTCAGTCCAGTGTAGGTGTGGGTCGAATTTGAACCCCAGGTAATTTATGGCATTTACTTGTTCATAAGTGGTTTTGTCCATCTGTTATTGTGATACTTTTGCCTGTGTATCTCAGCTTTCGTGGGTTGCCAAACAGCATTGCCTTGGTCTTCTGAGGGTGTAGGTCAGGGTTCTTCAATTCCGGTCCTGGAGGGCCGAAACACTTCTGTTTTTTATTTCTACCTGGTAGTTAATTGCACTCACCTGGTGTCCCAGGTCTGAATTAGCCCCTGATTAGAAGGAGAGGATGAAAAACAGAGGTGTCTCGGCCCTCCAGGACCGGAATTGAAGAACCCTGGTGTAGGTAGAGCTTGTTGTCAGCGAACCAAGCTGCTGCCCTCTTGATGTCATTTGACACTGACTCCTCACACTCCCTGGTGGTAGTAGCTGAGTAGTACAGGACTGTTTCATCTGCATATACAGTCCCTTTCAAAAGTTTGGACACACCTACTCATTCAAGGGTTTTTCTTTATTTTTACTATTTTCTACATTGTACAATAATAGTGAAGACATCAAAACTATGAAATAACACATATGGAATCATGTAGTAACCAAAAAAGTTTTAAACAAATCAAAATACATTTTATATTTGAGATTCTTCAAAGTAGCCACCCTTTGCCTTGATGACAGCTTTGCACATTCCTGGCATTCTCTCAACCAGCTTCACATGGAATGCTTTTCTAACAGTCTTGAAGGAGTTCCCACATATGCTGAGCACTTGTTGGCTGCTTTTCCTTCACTCTGCGGTCCAACTCATCCCAAACCATCTCAATTGGGTTGAGGTCGGGTGATTGTGGAGGCCAGGTCATCTGATGCAGCACTCCATCACTCTACTTCTTGGTAAAATAGCCCTTACACAGCCTGGAGGTGTGTTGGGTCATTGTCCTGTTGAAAAACAAATGATAGTCCCACTAAGCCCAAACCAGATGGGATGGCGTATCGCTGCAGAATGCTGTGGTAGCCATGCTGGTTAAGTGTGCCTTGAATTCTAACTCTGGGTCTTCCTTTCCCGTGGCGGTCCTCATGAGAGCCAGTTTCATCATAGAGCTTGATGGTTTTTGCATCTGCACTTGAAGAAACTTTCAAAGTTCTTGACATTTTCAGTATTCACTGACATTCATGTCTTAAAGTAATGATGGACTGTCGTTTCTCTTTGCTTATTTGAGCTGTTCTTGCCATAATATGGACTTCGTCTTTTACCAAATAGGGCTATCTTTTGTATACCACCCCTACCATGTCACAACACAACTGATTGGATGAAACACATTAAGAAGAAAATACATTCCACAAATTAACAAGGCACACCTGTTAATTGAAATGCATTCCAGGTGATTACCTCATGAAGCTGGTTGAGAGAATGCCAAGAGTGTGCAAAGCTGTCAAGGCAAAGGTGGATACTTGGAAGAAACTCAAATATAAAATATATTTTAATTTGTTTAACACTTTTTTGGTTACTATATGATTCCATATGTGTTATTTCATAGTGTTGATGTCTTCACTACTATTGTACAATGTAGAAAATAGTTTAAAAAAATAAAGAAAAACCCTTGAATGAGTAGGTGTGTCCAAACTTTTGACTGGTACTGTATATGTATACAGCATTTCTCCAGCACTGATGGAAGGTCATTTATGTAAATACAGAACAGTAGAGGTCCAAGCACACTCCTTTGTGGTACTCCATTCACCACAGGTACCTGGGCTGACTGCATGCTTTGCAGTTTAGTGTATTGACTCCTTCCCTGTAAGTATGACGTGAACTACTTGATTGCAATACTGTCAAAGCTTAGTTTCTCAAGCTTCCTCGGGAGTGTGTGGTGGTGAACTGTGTCAAAATCTTTCTCCAGATCCAAGATGAGTGCTGCTGTGACCTCCTGGCTGTTACAAGCAGACTTGATGTCCTCTACAACCCTTTGCACTGCTGTAGATGTGTTGTGTATCTTCCTAAAACCTGTTTGATAGGTCGTAAATAGGCTGTTGAGTGAGAAATGGTTAGCAACCTGTGTGTGCACTAGCCTTTCCCTGGCACCTGGAAACATTGCAAGGGAAACTAAACCAAAGCATGGATTGCTGTCATACCTTGTCCATAGACTGCTCACGTGATAAGAAAACCTAAGTGTAATTTGGGTGAACTATTCCTTTCATGTTTTTATGAGAGTACACCTGCCAGATATACACCTGACCTACTAGAAACACTGTGCAGGAGTTAGAAGTCAACTCAAGGTGTGGCATATAAAGCGATGGGCATAGTATGTGTGGGAGCAACATCGATCCAATGTACGGGGCCACATATCCATGAATCCGATTGCCGAACACGTGGGAACAGAACAAGGACAGTCAATTGGTCTACATATTCTTAGTGTTGTTGTAGTGGGGTCTTTCACAACGAAAGAACAATCAATAAATCGTTTTAGTTATTTTGCTATGTTAGTTAGATAGCTATCTACCACAACATACGGACCATCGTGATTTACCTTGCTAACTAGCTATTAAAGTTAGGCTAACTAGCTAGTAACGTTAATGTAGCGAACGGCTAGTAGCAGTCGTAGCTAGCTAGGTAAGTTATCGAACAACATTGGAATTAGTTAACTCCTCAAGAGCACTGAAATTGAGAAATTGTGGTTAGTTATCTGTTAAAAGCAACCCCATCGTTGTTGTATAATATTATTTAGCTAAACAGTCATTGTAGGCCAGCTAGCTACAGTAGGTATCTAAACAACAATGGGGTTGTTGTTGTTTACCGCTAATGTTGGCTAGCTAGGCTAACGTTGGCTAACGAGATGAACAAATGTAATTAGTTACCCAATAACAAATAAATGTATCTCGGGTAGCAAGCATACATTTAACTTACCAGGGCATCAATTTGTAGCCTGGGCTACTATTTGGCACGTCTCGTTGAACAAGTTAAGAAGCGATTGACAGACAGACAAACACTCAGCAACGAGCTAACGTCAGCCAACTCGGATCAACAGTGCCAGCGGTGGACAGTCACTGGACAGTGCAGTTGGGCGTTTGTTTGTGACAAGACCATGATGACGACCATGATGATTAAAAAACAAACAAAACAACAAAAACAGCACAAGAGACCATACATAAATGTTTAGCATTATTGTTTTGCTTTTTTTTTTATCAGCAAAAATACATTACATTTTGACTGGTTAAATTTGTTGAAAATAAACAACATTAAATAATTAAACCCTAGGGGAATGCAAGGCACCATTCCAGAGATTTACAATCAGTTGAGATCTCATCTTACTAAAACAAATACTTTCATTAAAAATAGCAACAATGCCCAGCTACATACCCTATGTAAGATTGATTAGTCTCCTAGAGAGAAACAAATAATCTTAGTGTTTGAACATGGATGACCTGAGTCACAGAGAAGGACATTGATCAACTAAAGAGACAGCATCTGATGACAATTACAAGGTTACAAAGCTTGGCAGGGAACATGCACTCACACACGACAGAGAAGGTTAGAAAGGTCTTTGGTAAAGAGAAGTAAGTACTCATTCAACCCAAAGCATGGTTCATACACCATACATTTTTTTAAATTTAAAAAAGGGTTTCTTTTCAAGTTTGTAAGACTTTAATGAGAATAATATTCATGATAGAAATGTAATATTTATTGATTAAACCCCTTTCGTGGAGCTTATAATGAACACAACTTAGAAATCAGCATCAGTGAACTGAAGATACAGTAATAGAGATCCTGTTCATTACAGTAATAATGAAAAAGGCTTGTTGTGCATTGCGGGAAAAAATATTGAGTGTGTTTGTTCAATGACCCACTGCTATTACAAAAAGACTCAGGGTAAACTATTGCATATATTATTTCTGGTACCATTTTCTGATTTTGTTTTTGTACAAAAGTTGGTGTCACTTTACAAATCTAACAACAAGTAACAGTTAACAGCTTTCTTTCCCCCACCCCCAAAAAACAACAAAAACTACCAAACAAAAAAACATTGAGATGTGCAATATTTTTGCATAAAACTGTATGAATATTACTGGCTTGAGGAAAATACTCTCCATTCATTCTAGAATAAGGGAACAATGTAAATCCCTTACATACTGAAAATATATTCTGAGATCTGGAACCCGTGATAAAAACTAAAAGGCTCTGGTAAAATTGCACTGTTGAGAACAAATGTGGTAAAAAAATATGTAGGTATACATGATCAACTATTGTTCTCTTCAGGTTTAGCAAAATATATTTGTATAAAAAACAAACACTAAAGAACATGTTTATCAGTCATCCTAAAATGAAGCCCCAGCTATTACATTTTCTGTCTGCCCAAACGGAAGTAATTGTATAACACATTTACAAAAGACAGTAGAGCTCAGATGAGGGGACAATTCAGTCAATTTCCAAGACCAAAAACTACATAAAGTGTAAAATGTGCAAAGCATGCTAATGTCTTGGGCGACCTCCTTCAAAGGCATGATGCTCCTCATGTGCTGAAATAGAAATAAACACAATAATCTCATGAGTTATCAATAGGCTCATTCATCAGACACATGATAGTCCCCTATAGCTCAGTTGGTAGAGCATGGCGCTTTCAACGCCAGGGTTGTGGGTTCGTTTCCTACGGGGGGCCAGTATGAAAATGTATGCACTCACTAACTGTAAGTCGCTCTGGATAAGAGCGTCTGCTAAATGACTAAAATTAAAATGTAAATGACAACAGTAAGGGAAGAGTAAGGTTGTTTTGATGGAGTGAATTAGCATGTACTCTAGTCTACTTGTTTTTATCTTGGCATGTGAATGTCATCCAAGATAGAAAGTACTCACGCTTATAAAATACTGCCTTAAAAGTGATCTGTGGAAGAAGTTCATAGATCCGTCCTAGGATGTTTGCTTCGTTAGCAAAAGAGGCATTTCCATTCCAGATTTGAACAACATCTTCTCTGTCTCGTATGCTGACACTAACACCAACCACCTCATCCTCTGAAACACAACCAGAGAAGAAAACATTTCAGATAAATACATCAATACCCTTCAATATTTTGAGATACAATATTCCGTCCCTTGTAAAGTTGTATGTTTTTCTTTATGACAGGATGTTCATGGCATTTCAGACTTCTACTGTATGGTTGATTTAAATCAAATTGTATTTGTTACATGCTTCGCAAACCACAGGAATACATACACAGTGAATAACAATAACGACTAAAAGCGGAATCCCATCTGGTTTGCACTTAGTGGGACTATCATTTGTTTTTCAACAGTGACCCAAAACACACTATTTGACCAAGAAGGAGCGTGATGGAGTGCTGCATCAGATGACCTGGCCTCCACAATCACCCGACCTCAACCCAATTGAGATGGTTTGGGATGAGTTGGACCGCAGAGTGAAGGAAAAGCAGCCAACAAGTGCTCAGCATATGTGGGAACTTCTTCAAGACTGTTGGAAAAGCATTCCAAGTGGAGCTGGTTGAAAGAATGCCAAGAGTGTGCAAAATCGTCATCAATCTAAAATATAAAATATATTTGGATTTGTTTAACACTTTTTTGGTTACTACATGATTCCATATGTGTTATTTCATAGTTTTGATGTCTTCACTATTATTCTACAATGTAGAATAATAGTAAAAATAAAGAAAAACCCTTGAATGAGTAGGTGTGTCCAAACTTTTGACTGGTGCTGCAGCACCCCTATGTCCTGAGGGGGAAGATACGCTGTCATGCCCTCTTCATAGCTGTGTGGACCATGTTCATTCCTTAGTGATGTGGACACAGACAAACTTGAAGCTCTCGACCTGCTCCACTACAGCCACATTGATATGGATGAGGGCGTACTCGCCCCTCTGTTTCCTGTAGTCCATGATCAGCTCCTTTGTCTTGCTGACGTTGAGGGAGAGGTTGTTGTCCTGGCACCACACTGCTAGGTCCTGGACCTCCTCCCTATAAGCTGCCTCATCATCGTTGGTGATCACTGACTAATTCTTCATGACTGTACAAGCTGACAAAAGACCATGTAGACCAAAACCCACAGTTGGAGTCTGAAAGACACTGCACATGATGCACTCTCTCTTCACACTTACCTGAAGCACAGTAATCAGTGAATTGCTCCCCAATAGTGGCCAACAGTAACTCCTTCCATACAGCAGGCTGGGGAAATGAAGACACATTGAGTATGTTACCAGTACACACATTTACTCAACAAACATAAATTAAATATGGTATGAATGGTTAAAACATAACGTATTACCTTTATTGTACTTACAGTGCTTTCTTTGGGTACTTTCATTTTCCAAACTCCCCCCTTTGCATTACTCTCTTCTTCCCTGGATGAAATGGAAAATGCATAGCAAGAACGAGAGTAAATGAAAGGTCATACCATTTACACATAGAATTATGATTATTTAGTCTTACCAGAGTGGTCTTCTCTCTCCTCTCATTAAGTGATAGCTACATCGCAGTGGTAAACTGGAAACTCCAGGTATATTGTTGTACACGCTCCAAAAGGTCTATTCAAAAATATGAGGAACAATTGGATCTTTACCATAATTATCAAATTCATAGTGTTGCCTTTATTACTGCATTATTATTGATAAACACAAAGACATAACATAAAGATATACATGTGTATTTATCTTGTAAAACTTTTTTTTTTTGTATTTATTTATCATGATGTGGCAATTATCTTAAACCTCTCAACTAACACAGAAACCTTACCTGAACTGTTTGCACAGTGTAGATTTTTTTCAGACCTGATTCACATTCTGCTGCGGTTGTTCCTGGTAAAGATCTGGAGGAAAGATCCAAACAAAACATAAATATCTAATTTCATCTATATATAACTCTGCATCCGGCAAGATCTATCAGTCCTAAAATAACCTGTTTTGTTTTTGTACCTATAGCAAGCCTTGGTCCAGCAGTGCTCAAAGCAGCCAGGTTGGAGAAGATCAGGTGTCAACACCTTTCCACAGGACTCTAGCCCAGCAGTAAACAAGACTGACTGACCCGTTTTAAGTTGACTGCCTTCTCTCTTGGCCAGAGACGTACGCTACATGACCAAAAGTATGTGGACACCTGCTTGTCGAACATCTCATTCCAAAATCATGGGCATTAATATGGAGTTGGTCCCCCCTTTGCTGCTATAACAGCACCACTCTTTTGGGAAAGCTTTCCACCAGATATTGGAACATTGCGGCAGGGACTTACATTTACATTTTAGTAATTTAGCAGACGCTCTTATCCAGAGCGACTTACAGTTAGTGAGTGCATACATTTTCATACTGGCCGCCCGTGGGAAAGAACCCACAACCCTAGCGTTGCAAGCGCCATGCTCTACCAACTGAGCTACAGGGGACATGATAAAATGTTATGGGATGCATTTTCTCCATTGTTTTTGATGGTAGGCCACTCTGGTAGGCCTACATTATGATCAAATAGCCACAGTAACTTACATGGCCACTGTTAAAACTGTAACGTAAAGCGGGTATAGCCTCAGTGTTCACAGTAAACATGGGCTGGAAATTGCACAGAATTTCCACAATGATCAAATTAGAGGGTATATTGCCTACAGTGCTTTCAGAAAGTATTCATACCTCTTGATTTATTATCCACAAAAAGTTCATTTCTTTGCCACATTTTTAGCAATTTCACTTTAGTGCCTTTTCACAAACAGCATGCTTTAGAATATTTGTAATTCTGTACAAGATTCCTTCTTTTCACTCTCATTTAGGTTAGTATTGTGGAGTAACTACAATGTTGTTGATCCATCCTCAGTTTTCTATCACAGCCATTAAACTCTGTAACTGTTTTAAAGTCACCATTGGCCTCATGGTGCAGTTTTCTTTCTCTCCAGCAACTGAGTTAGGAAGGACGCCTGTATCTTTGTAGTGACTGGGTGTATTGATGCACCATCCAAAGTGTAATCAATAACTTCACCATGCTCAAAGGGATATTCAATGTAAGCTTTTTTATTTTTTACCCATCTACCAATAGCTTCTTTGCGAGCCATTGGAAAATCTCCGTAGTCTTTGTGGTTGAATCTGTGTTTGAAATGCATTGCTCGAATGAGGGACCTTACAGATAATTGTATGTGTGGGTTACAGAGATGAGGTAGTCATTCAAAAATCATGTTAAACACTATTTATTGCAATGTATTATGTGATTTAAGCACATTTTTACTCGTGAACTTATGGCTTGCCATAAAGGGGTTGAATACTTATTGACTCAAGACATTTCAGCTTTTCATTTGTAATTAATGTGTAACAATTTCTAAAAACATAATTCCACTTTGACATTAATGGGTATTGTGTGTAGGCCTGTGAAACAAAAATCTCAATGTAATCAATTTTAAATTCAGGTTGTAACACAACAAAATGTGGAAAAAGTGAAGGTGTGTGAATACTTTCTGAAGGCACTGTATATCAAGATCTTTCAAAACTTGCTTCCATTCAGCCACAAGAGCATTAGTGAGGTCGGGCACTGATGTTGGGAGATTAGGCCTGGCTCGCAGTCGGCTTTCCAATTAATCCCAAAGGTGTTCGATGGGGTTGAGATTAGGCTCTGTGGAGGCCAGTCAAGTTCTTCCACACCGATCTCGACAAACCATTTCTGTATGGACCTCGCTTTGTGCATGTGCACGGGGGCATTGTCATGCTGAAACAGGAAAGGGCCTTCCTCAAACTGTTGCCACAAAGTTGGTAGCACAGAATCGTATAGAATGTCATTGTATGCTGTAGCGAACTAAGGGGCCTAGCCCGAACCATGAAAAATAGCCCCAGACCATTATTCCTCCTCCACCTAACTTTACAATTGGCACTATGCATTCGGGCAGGTAGCGTTCTTCTGGCATCCGCCAAACCCTGATTTGTCTGTCGGACTGCCAGATGGTGAAGCGTTTTCCACTGCTCCAGAGTCCAATGGTGGCGAGCTTTACACCACTCCAGCCGACGCTTGGCATTACGCATGGTGATCTTAGGCTTGCTCGGCCATGGAAACCCATTTCATGAAGCTACCGACGAACAGTTATTGTGCTGACGTTGCTTCCAGGGGCAGTTTGGAACTCGGTAGTGAGTGTTGCAACCGAGGACAGGAGATTTTTATACGCTACGCGTTTCAGCACTCGGCGCTCATGTTCTGTGAGCTTGTGTGGCTTACCACTTCGCAGTTGAGCCGTTGTTGCTCCTAGACATTTCCACTTCACAATAATAGCACTTACAGTTGACCGGGGCAACTCTAGCAGGGCAGAAATTTGACGAACTGACTTGTTGGAAAGGTGGCATCCTATGACGGGCCACGTTAAAAGTCACTGACCTCTTCAGTAAGGCCATTTTACTTCCAATGTTTGTCTATGGAGATTTCAAGGCTGTGTGCTCGATTTTATACACCTGTCAGCAATGGGTGTGGCTGAAATAGCCGAATCTACTAATTTGAAGGGATGTTCACATACAGTGCTGTGAAAAAGCCCCCTTTCTAATTATCTCTAATTTTGCATATTTTTGATACTGAATGTTATCAGATCTTCAACCAAAACCTAATATTAGATAAAGGGAACCTGAGTGAACAAATAACACAACAATGACATACTTATTTAATAAACAAACTTATATAACTCCCAATGCCCGTGTGAAAAAAGTAATTACCCCCTTACACTCAATAACTGCTTGTGCCACCTTTAGCTGCAATGACTCCAACCAAACGCTTCCTGTAGTTGTTGATCAGTCTCTCAGGTCACTGTGGAGGAATTTTGGCCCACTCTTCCATGCAGAACTGCTTTAACTCAGCAACATTTGTGGGTTTTCATGCATGAACTTCTCGTTTCAAGTCCTGCCACAACATCTCAATTGGGATTAGGTCTGGACTTAGGCCATTCCAAAACTTCATATTTTTTGCTTTCTAGCCATTTTCCTGTGGACTTGATTGTGTGTTTTGGATCATTGTCTTGCTGCATGACCCAGCTGCACTTCAGCTCACAGACGGATGGCCTGACATTCTCCTGTTGAATTCTCTGATACAGAGCAGAACTCATGGTTCCTTCTATTAAGGCAAGTCGTCCAGGGCCTGAGGCAGCAAAGCATCCCCAAACCATCACACCACCATGCTTGACCGTTGGTATGAGGTTGTTACTGTGGAATGCAGTGTTTGTTGTTTGGTTTTCGCCAGACATAATATTTGTAAACTCAGGTTCCTCTGATCTAATATTAGGTTTTGGTCAAACATCTGATAACTTTAAGTATGACAAATATGTAAAAATAGAGAAAATCAGAAAGGGGGCAAATACTTTTTTCATTGATATACATCACTTCAATAAGAACACAATGAAAAGAAAGATCTGTATAAGCAAAATCTATGTCCATTATTGTGACATCCATCACAGTTTTTGATTATACTGTAAAAAAGCTAGGTCTAAATGAAAACCAAGACAGAGAAAAGGTATCCACATTACAGAGTCAATGGATGGCAGAAGCCTAAACAAAAACAGACTAGCCTATGATTTAACTTTTAGTCTTGAGATTGGAAATAAATACTTTCACCCCTATGCCTATATTCAGGAAAAACTGTTTTGTAGAACAAATATTTAGAACAAATCAGTGTTGAGGGCCTCGGGCTTTCCCCAACCCAAGGTCTTAACACAGGTTACATAGCAGAGGTAAACAAGCTCTGCCCCATATACAAGTACTCACAGTGTTGATAAAAATAGACAAAGTCCAATTCCAGCAGGTCATGTGTACACTTCCCATAATAGAATCATATTTGCTAATAGTCAGTGAAGCAATGATCTGAAGTTTTACAATGAATACAATTTCTGATAGCCTGCCTAAGACTGAGATTTTGAGAACATTTTCTAACTAACGGTACATTGCATGGCACCATATCAACTGAGGAATAAGAAACAGTGATTGTGAAAACACAGGCTATAGTGTAATAATCATAACTATTGTGGCGTTATACACATGCACTGTCTGCAACTTGCAAGACTCCTTTGTTTTGGCAAGGCTTGCTAGCTAGCTATCCCAAATGCAGTTGAGTTCATACAAACTCATCCCATGAAAACAAATCATAGAAAGAATCACCATCAAGTCCATGTAATGATAAAATGGTGAGCTTACCTATCAAGCCAAAAAGTCCACGGAGAATGTAATGGGAGGGTGCCGTTTCCATCGTTGTTCGTGATGTTCTCCAATTCTCTTTCGTCAATATCGATGTTACGTACTGCGGAGTTTTGACTTACTGTGTTGTTCAGTTGCATGTTTGGGACAGCAGGAACGGCCATTTCCTGGGTTGTAAAAATAATCGATTTGATTGTTTTTAAAAGATCTCGTTTCACCTCTTGATTTGATAGGTGTAAAGTGCCTACTTTGCTGACTGCTGACTCATTCGTCGCTTCACAGGTCTGGCTTCACAACAACAGTAAAATGATGACGTCTATCTGTCTGCAGGCTAAACGTTCTTGTCATAGGCGAGATTCACACTAGGAAACAGGACTGCCTTAAATTAGTATTAAATGTACCTTCATTTCCCCTTAAACCATGCCAATACCCCTTAATATGAATTAAATCGTCCTTAAATTACACAATTGGCCTCTTAAATCTCCGTAATTTTAAAGCAAAAGGGCACCCATTAAACATACCTTAATTTCAATTGTTGGTCAGTATTTTTTTTTAAATTTAAGTACATATGGGATATCAGGAAAATTCTCCTTAATAATACCTTACTACAAAATGTTTGATAGCACCCTTGCTTTTTGGGTTTAAGGAGAGGTTAAGGGATATATGGAGCATGCCCTTCATTATACTTAAGCAATCAGGCCCGAGGAGGTGTGGTATATGGCCAATATACCACGGCTAAGGCGCACAATTGGCCCAGCGTCATCCAGGGTAGGGGAGGGAATGGCCGGCAGGGATGTAGCTCAGTTGATAGAGCATGGCGTTTGCAATGCCAGGGTTGTGGGTTCGATTCCCACGGGGGGCCAGTATAAACAAATATGTATTCACTAACTGTAAGTCGCTCTGGATAAGAGCGTCTGCTAAATGACTAAAATGTAAATGTAAGGTATGCTCCTCTTACACACATGCAACGTGGAGTGCCTGGACCAGGCCTTAGCCGTGGTATATTGGCCATATCCCACAAACCCCCAAGGTGCCTTATTGCTATTATAAACGAGTTACCAACGTAATTAGAGCAGTAAAAATACATGTTTTGTCATACCCATGGTATACGGTCTGATATACCACGGCTGTCAGACAATCAGCATTCATGGCTCGAACCACACAGTTTATAAATTAATTTAGATTGTTTTTGTTTATACTTACATTTTCAGATTAGGTGCCGCGCGCGTACAGTGGAAATGTTGTTCTAATATTCACCACCCATACAGTAGTGTGGCGGCATGCACCTCTAACGATTGATTGCTGACCGCCAAGAAGAAGAAGACGAAGAAGAAGAAGAAGAAGAAGAAGAAGAAGCAGAGTGTGTAGCTAGCAAGTGTGTTACCTGGATATGTTGATGTTGCTAGCTAAGGAAGCTAGTGGTCGTTTTTTTTCTGTTTCCTGTCGCTGTTGTAGGGGGTATTGGTTGCCATAGGCTAGTTGACGTTACAACCATGGAAATCGACACACTTTTGGAGGCTTTCACGGGTAAATCAACTTCCTTTAGCTGATTTTCCGTATTTCTAACGTTACATGATTAGCTACATTGGAATTGACAAACTTACTGTAGCCGCATATATTCTAGTTAGCTAGCTATCTCGTTGGATGGATGGATAACTTGGCTAGTTAACTAGCTTGTAGCTAACTCTAGCAGTCGAAATTATTAGCTCGCTAGGCCTCTTTTTTTTTATAACGTAACTACACGTATAATTCAATATTGATGTGAATGTGTGTTGACTTGAAGCTATTTCATCCACTTAAGGACACTTTGTACCTAGTCTAGTTAGCAGGTCGCTATAGCTTATGTTGACCATAGCTAGCTAGCTAAGTGTTCTAGTTTAGTTAACTAGCTCGCTCTTTGCTACTAACGTTAACTAGCTAGCTAGCGTTATTTAGTGGTGAATGTGGTAGTTGCAGCCATGGTGAACCTATGAAGTTACTAAATTAGTAGCTATTCTAATTATATGGTTGCAGCTTGCTAGCTACGTAGCGCCGGTGGTTGCCGTGAAGCTAATTCTTCCTGACGGCGTACCCTGCCTGGACTACAACGCTGCACATACTTGAATAAGTGTTTTCTATTTTCATTTATCTACGTTCAGACTTTGAGAAGAAAGGGAAGAAAGATGCCTGTCCTGCCCTGGATCAACTTCTGTCTCATGTCGCCAAAACGGGAGAAACGATGTGAGTGTCTGAGAAATGAGCCTCAAGTGCCAGTCACTTTTCTATTGAATGGACAATGTGTCAATGCAGTATAGAAATACACAGGCTGGTAAATTACACAATGGGTAAATTACAACACATGGATAGTCATATTGCTGAAATGTCTTTATGGATATGCTACCAAAACCAAGGTCTTGTTTGAGGAGACTGAAGTTAGCCCAATATTGGACTAAAGGAGCCTTACATTATACCTTAGTCCAAGGACCTTACATTTTTAAAGGGCAAATTGGCTCTGGAAGCACAAACGGCCAAATACACCATCTAAAAGTATGTCTATTCTCAATTGCGGTATGGTTCTAGAAATATAAAATCCCTCATTTACATTTACGTCATTTAGCAGACGCTCTTATCCAGAGCGACTTACAAATTGGTACATTCAACTTATGATAGCCAGTGGGACAACCACTTTTTTTTTAAATGGGGGGGGGGTAGAAGGATTACTTTTATACTATTCCAGGTATTCCTTAAAGAGGTAGGGTGTCAAGTGTCTCTGGAAGGTGGTCAGTGACTCCGCTGTCCTGGCGTCATGGGGGAGCTTGTTCCACCATTGGGGTGCCAGAGCAGCGAATAGCTTTGACTGGGCTGAGCGGGAACTGTGCTTCCGTAGAGGTAGGGGGGCTAGCAGGCCAGAGGTGGATGAACGTAGTGCCCTCGTTTGGGTGTAGGATCTGATCAGAGCCTGAAGGTAAGGAGGTGCCATTCCCCTCACAGCTCTGTAGGCAAGCACCATGGTCTTGTAGTAGATGCGAGCCTCAACTGGAAGCCAGTGGAGTGTGCGTAGGAGCGGGGTGGCATGAGAGAACTTGGGAAGGTTGAACACCAGACGGGCTGCAGCGTTCTGGATAAGTTGTAGGGGTTTAATGGCACAGGCAGGGAGTCCAGCCAACAGCGAGTTGCAGTAATCCAGACGGGAGATGACAAGTGCCTGGATTAGGACCTGTGCCGCTTTCTGTGTAAGGTAGGGTCGTACTCTCCAAATGTTGTAGAGCATGAACCTGCAGGATCGGGTCACCGCTTTGATGTTAGCGGAGAACGACAGGGTGTTGTCCAGGGTCACGCCAAGGTTCTTTGCACTCTGGGAGGAGGACACAATGGAGTTGTCAACCGTGATGGCAAGATCATGGAGCAGGCAGTCCTTCCCCGGGAGGAAGAGCAGCTCCGTCTTGCCGAGGTTCAGCTTGAGGTGGTGATCCAACATCCACACTGATATGTCTGCCAGACATGCAGAGATGCGATTCGCCACCTGGTTATCAGAAGGGGGAAAGGAAAAAATGGATTGTGTGTTGTCACATCAAAATAATTTCACAAATGCAAAATACAGACGTACTGTACACTGTTTTAACACAGTTGCAGATGTACTGTACACTTTTTTAAACACAGTTGCAGTCAACACTATTTTTAAGTGACAACACGTTTGTGGCATCTGTCTTCCATTTACACATAGATGTTCGGAGACGCAGATGGCTAATAAGCACAGATCTTCTGTCTGTTTTCCGTAAACAAGGGCTGTAACATGGAAATATGGCCGTGTGTGAACCCTAACCCTATAAAGGTGTGTAGTAATCAAACCTTTTTTTGTTTTTTGAAAATAATTTCTCGTCAATATGAAAGATAAGTCCTTATGCTTCCAAAACCGTGTCGCAAGCGATGCGTCTTAATGTTCAGACCGAGCGTCGCGGCTCTTAACAAAACTCTCTCCTACAGAAGACCCCTTCGTCCAATGACTCTTATGTGTAATGTAATTGAACTGAGAGTCGTGATCATGTGGTCCCAAGAGTGATATCACAACATCAAGGCTCCATCAGTTGGATAGGTTACCAGTTGGTCTCGAAAACCCTTCTCTCCGTAGCGTTTTCAGTGGTTAGCTTCGCCCAAGGCAGGCTCTGTGTGAACTACATTTCTAACCCTGTGTTTTAACGTTTACAAACATCAATCAGCGCTTGCGAAACGGTTTTCTTTCAAATAAAAAATATACACTTTACTGTAGCATATTTGCACAGATCAATACACTGTGTGCCTCCAGTTGACGAACTACACTTCCTTTCCCAGTTATGCTTACACACAGTTGTTCGGAGCAGTCGGTCTTCCGCAAACACTCGCAGCATAGGTTTCCATTAGGAAAATGTGGTGCTGGACAACGTGACCGGGTAGATTTAAATTTACCAGACATTTAAGAAATTTACCGGACCCATATGCATTGGGTACATAACCCATTAGGGTGTCCACCCACGGTGCTCAGAATGACAAATCACATTTAAGATTATGGTAATGCGTCTTAACAGAACATGTAACTCATGTAATGAAGCAGCCAATAAAATGTAATTTTCAAACATTTGCCAAAATGCAATTTGTGGGAAAATGTCATTCTAAACAGCGCACCTGATAGTGGTTCCATATATGACAGATGAACATCTCTGTTCGAAAGAGGGGGACTCTAAAGATGCAACAACTAGGATGGGTTGCTAATATGACTAGGATTGTGCCTTTGGCTTCTGGATAACGAATGAAAGTTGATAAGAAAACCAGTAGAACAGGAGAGAAATGGCATAGTGGTGGGCCCAATATGGAAGTAAATGGAAATACATTTGCCAAAATTATATAATTACTCCTGTCTATACAGAAATGAATAAAATCATTCAAAATATTTCAACAGAAAGCATGACTTCGCCACAGAGGAATCGAGGATCATAGGCTTCTTAAAAAAATTGCTGTGTATTGTTTAAAATCACAAGCTCATAGGCCTATGCCTATTTGGGAAACCCGCAATTTGGGCAGTGCGCGTGGCAATAGGCCTAGCTGATAATTGAGTTGCAGCTGTCAGTAACAAGGTTTCCATCCAGGCGTTTTATGCGAGTAAAGTACGTCGGATAAAAAAAAAATGTAATGGAAACATACATTTTTTCGGTAAACTTTCCAAATGTCGACAAAATACGATAGACAAGGTGAGCTCTTTAATTATGCAAGAAATGTCAGTGGAAACGCTTTAATTAGCAAATATTGAAATAATAACATCAAATCGAAGTAAACTTTGAGTCGCGCAATGACGTGTGGTCCTCCCACTACGACATGTTGGGAAAGCATGCAGTTTGTTAAATTACAGACAAAATAAGTTATGATGAACTTCACAGGGTGGTGAAAGTGCAAGGTGATGAGCTTGACGCCTAGGGTCTTATTATGGGGACATGATAATCGACACTTGGCTGCCTTTTTATATTTTTCCAATCTTGCTCTTGTCCATATCATCTCATGTAGGCTACATGTGCACTCTAGCCAACAGTGTGCAGATAGTGCTTTTGGCTAGAGTGCACGTGCCAATACCAGAGTGGGCACACTTGCTATATAACTTGCTATATATATATATTTTTTTGTGACAACCATCAGTAGTTGAAAATGCGATGGAAACCAATGTAACTTTTATTTGGTACATGGGAATTTAACCGCAAAATGTAGTTTTATGTGCACTACATCATCACGCACAGCCTTTTATCTACAACAAGTCAATTTGATGGAAACACATGAGAATGTGTTTTTATGCAGATTTTAGAATATTCACATGAAAGTCTGTAACCAATTGGCTGGAACCCTAGCTAGTGAAAAGCATCTAAAATGTGTGAAGATAATGCGTCTTGAGTACAATTTAAAATGTTGAGACAAGAAGAAAGGGAGGGGTGTATGGCGAAGATATAGACGAGTCTCTCTCCAGAATGGCTCAGCTGTCTCACGCTAATTCTTGTGCATTCATTGTCAATTGTTTTCCCCTGAATCCTCCATTTTTGTTGTTGTTGATCAATTCCCCATTCCATATGTCACCAGTAGTAAATGTACTGTTAATCCCCGTCATTTGGTTACATTAATTTCTGTTAAATGATTGTAATTAATAGATGCATTACCGTTCCCATTCTCGGAGTGGAAACATTGTTTGCAGAGTTCACAACCTGCTACACTTGTGAGAAACAAGTTTTGGTTAATTTCATAACCATAATTTACGAGATGTGTAAACATTTTTTTATTGTCTTTTGTTTGGAATGCTCCATGTGAGCATTGAGCATGTCTGGTGTCTCTGTCCTGATAATGTTGAGGGAGCTTGTGCACCTGAGCATGCAGTATCATGCCTGCTGCGAGGGAATGTAGGAAAGTGTTTTAACATCCACTGCAAATGATAATACAGTATATTGAAACTATAGTTCCTCACAGTAAGCTATTTGAAAAATCTTTCCAACAATATCCCCCTATAATCCCCAATCCTCGGTGTGAAAGAGCAATGGAAGTTATAGGCCACAGGTAGCAGTAGGCCTATAGGCTATGAGTTCCATGTGCTAATTTCTTTAGCCGCCAATGGATCACGGTGTATCAATGTGTCCATAATGCAGAGGCTTTACTTTTTAACTTTGAGATTATCATTTTAATTAAGATTTTTATAATTAACCATGTGACAATGATTTTGAGAAACAAAAACGTTATTGAAATGAAACTGTTCCACATTTGCGCATATGAAAACCATAACTGGCACACAGAACTGTAGAAATGGTAGGAGAAATCCCGCTCAAAATTGTGTTGGATAAATACGATGCATGATGAATAACATACACACACAATTATTCCACAAAATGATGCAAATTAACCTATAGACCGATAAGCATGATGGTCAAATATATTTACATCGACTGGTATTTCCATCAATGAATAAAAGCTGATTTATCTTTTTTCTTTCTCCTGGTCATTTTGGCCAGCAACAGTTTTTTTTAAATTTATTATCTTTTCAAAAAATTGATTGACCAAAGCCGACTATCGCCGGCTAACGGAAACCCTGACACGTGGTAACATGGAGATATGGCTGTGTGGGAACCCTAACCCTATAAAGGTGTGTAGTAATTTTAACCTTTTTGTTTTTTGAAAATTATTTCTCGCTGATATGAAAAATGTGTTCCTTATGTTTCCAAAACCGTACCGCAAGCGATGCTTGTTTACTTTTAGAGCAAGCGTCGGCTCTTAACAAAAGCCCCCGGGAAGAAGATACAGTGTCTTGCAAAAGTATTCATCCCCCTTGGCATTTTTCCTATTTTGTTGCACTACAACCTGTAATTTAGCTGGATTTTTATTTGGATTTCATGTAATGGACATACACAAAATAGTCCAAATTGGTGAAGTGAAATTAAAAAAATTACTTGTTTCAAATAAATAAATAACAGAGAAGTGGTGCGTGCATATGTGTTCACCCTCTTTGCTATGAAGCCCCTAAATAAGATGTGGTGCAACCAATTACCTTCAGAAGTCACATAATTAGTTAGATTGCACACAGGTGGACTTTAAGTGTCACATAATCTCAGTGTATATATACACCTGTTCTGAAAGGCCCCAGAGTCTGAAACACCTCTAAGCAAGGGGCACCACCAAGCAAGCGGCATCATGAAGACCAAGGAGCTCTCCAAACAGGTCAGGGACAAAGTTGTGGAGAAGTACAGATCAGGGTTGGGTTATAAAAAAATATCAGAAACTTTGAACATCCCACGGAACACCATTTAAATCCATTATTAAAAAATGGAAAGAATATGGCACCACAACAAACATGCCAAGACAGGGCTGCCCACCAAAACTCACGGACCAGGCAAGGAGGGCATTAATCTGAGGCAACAAAGAGACCAAAGATAACCCTGAAGGAGCTGCAAAGCTCCACAGTGGAGATTGGAGTATCTGTCCATAGGACCACTTTAAGCCGTACACTCCACAGCTGGGCTTTACGGAAGAGTGGCCAGGAAAAAGCCATTGCTTAAAGAAAAAAATAAGCAAACATGTTTGGTGTTCGCCAAAAGGCATGTGGGAGACTCCCCAAACATATGGAAGAAGGTACTCTGGTCAGATGAGACTAAAATTGACCTTTTTGGCCATCAAGGACAACGCTATGTCTGGCGCAAACCCAACACCTCTCATCACCCCGAGAACACCATCCCCACAGTGAAGCATGGTGGTGGCAGCATCATGCTGTGGGGATGTTTTTCATCGGCAGGGACTAGGAAACTGGTCAGAATTGAAGGAATGATGGATGGCGCTAAATACAGGGAAGTTCTTGAGGGAAACCAGTTTCAGTCTTCCAGAGATTTGAGCCTGGGACGGAGGTTCACCTTCCAGCAGGACAATGACCCTAAGCATACTGCTAAAGCAACACTCGAGTGGTTTAAGGGGAAACATTTAAATGTCTTGGAATGGCCTAGTCAAAGCCCAGACCTCAATCCAATTGAGAATCTGTGGTATGACTTAAAGATTGCTGTACACCAGCGGAACCCATCCAACTTGAAGGAGCTGGAGCAGTTTTGCCTTGAAGAATGGGCAAAAATCCCAGTGGCTAGATGTTCCAAGCTTATGGAGACATACCCCAAGAGACTTGCAGCTGTAATTGCTGCAAAAGGTGGCTCTGCAAAGTATTGACTTTGGGGGGGTGAATAGTTATGCACGCTCAAGTTTTCTGTTTTTATTTTGGTCTTATTTCTTGTTTGTTTCACAATTTAAAAACAATATTTTGCATTTTCAATGTGGTAGGCATGTTGTGTAAATCAAATGATACAATCCCCCCCAAAATCTATTTTAATTCCAGGTTGAAAGGCAACAAAATAGGAAAAATGCCAAGGGGGGTGAATAGTTTCGCAAGCCACTGTACCTTCATATAATAATTTAAAAAATAATTGGTCATTTAGCAGACGCTCTTATCCAGAGCGACTTACAGGAGCAATTAGGGTTAAGTGCCTTGCTCAAGGGCACATCGACAGATTTTTCACCTAGTCGGCTCGGGGATTAGAACCAGCGACCTTTCGGTTACTGGCACAACGCTCTTAACCACTAAGCTACCTGCCGCCCCGTTGGCGTCTATGAATGGGCTAGGCAACCAGAGAGGTATCCCACGAAGCAAGCTAGATCTACTCAGGTTTTTCTAAAGCTAACCAGCTTCAGTTAGCTTCACATTCCAGCTCAGGCTTCAAGTGTCAAGTTTTATTAGTCGTATGTATGGGATATGCATGGTATAGGCCTACATCGCCCATCGAAATGCTTACTTGCAGGTTCCTTCTCAACAATGCAACAACAATAAGAAATAGTCAAAAGTAAGAATACAAACAAAGTAAATGGCAGTAGAATATACGTTTTTTAGCATAATTATAATACAGGAACGCACAATTTATAATGCAATATTTTACATGTGTATTGGGGATGGGGGGCAAGTGTATAAATCGATCAGTATAGTAAGTCTGGTAGCAGCTGTTGTGATGTGTGCAGAGAATCAGAGCAGGTGGTCAGTCCAGTTCAAGTGTTCAGCACTCTGATGGCTTGTAGATACCAACAGGCTCAGGGACAGTTTCATGCTCCGATACTTTCTGTCTCCCTGACTGTAAAGGAGAGAACAGCTCGTGGCTGGGGTGTGGGGGGTCCTTGATGATGCTGCATGCCTTCCTCAGGCACCGTTTCGAGTAATTTCCTGGATGGGTGGAAGCACGGTCCCAGTGACGTACTGGAGGGCCTTGCGGTTGTGGACGGAGCAATTCCTGTACCAGGCCATGATGCAACCAGTCAGGACGCTCTCGATGGTGCAGTAGTTTTGCAGAGGACCGGGGCAGCATGCCAGATTTCTTCAGCCGTCTTAGGAAGTAGATGCTGTTGCACCCTCTTGACAAGAGTGGTGGTGTTGTTAGTCTGCGACAAGTCCTCGGCTTCATCCATACTGTGACGGTGGATATTGCTTGTCCGCCTGCCACAAATTGTAGCAGGCTTATAACTGCGCGTGCATGTCGTACATGGCTAGTCGAACGCCGAACTCTTCATTGAAGCAATGATGAAACCTCAATCCATGGGCGAGTCAGTGCCACATTTCATTTTTTGCCGAAATCAAAATTAACTAAGTTATCTTGCAAATTCAGCAGGCTGTGGTGTGAAATAGGCTTTTAGAAGTGCCATCTTTATTTTATGACTTCTAGTTAATGCTGTCTTTGGTGTTACATTGCGTGAAGTTTAAAATGCCTTCTGTCATTACTATGTGATATATTTTAACATGATTATTTTACACACATATTTGATTAAATATTTTCTTAATCAGTCGTCTTCCTCAAATGAAGGGAATGAAGTCGCAGTCTTTGCAGGAGGGAGGGAAATCTGATTTCATTGGTCCTCAACTCAAGGCTCAGTCATTTCATTCAGAGTAAGTGGCGTTAGCCTGCCCCAGAGAAGGTTAGTTCTGAAGGATTCGTTGCCATTCAAATTTACCTGGCTAAAAGGTGTGCCACTTTCATATGACTGGTTATCCCGAGTTGAACTCAGTTGACCAAAGTTACCTCACTAACTCCTCAAACCTGCTTCGTAGGATACCCCTCAGGTGTTGGACCTAGAGGATAACTTTTTGGTCTCCCATCTCTTCCAGGATTTCATGGTCACAGTTCAAAAGTTATTTCCTGTTTAAACTTGAGAAAGTAATGGATGACTTCAGAACCTCGACGCCAGACCAGCGAGGGCCAGCGAATCCTAATGTGGAGTACATTCCTTTTGAAGAGATGAAGGAAAGGATTCTCAAAATTGTAGATGGGTACAACGGGTGAGTGTCCTCCACTGTCCAGTGCTGAAACATCTAATAAAAAGTCTCCCTTTAATGCTTGTTTTACTGGTATGTCTTTGTGTATACCTTTTTGACTATATTTTCCAGTATTCCGTTCACCATCCAGCGTCTGTGTGAGTTACTTACTGAACCTAAGAGGAACTACACTGGAACAGACAAGTTCCTCAGGGGAGTGGAGAAGGTAAGTATCATCACTGTTTCTGAGATTGTTTATCATAATGGGTTTTTTAAATATGGGGTGTTATCTTTAGCCAAAATGGGAGTTTCTATTGGACAAATTTAGGTAGGTTCTTCCTCATTTTTGTTCAGTTTGCTTCCGTTTAAGAAACGTTTTGCAACAGAATCAGCGTAATGAATATGCCCCCAGGGTACTCTCCCTATTAAGGATACCCATGTCACAGATACATGTCCTTGTGTTAATTTGAATTAATAATGCATTCTCGCATGGCAGTTATTTTTGTTTTTACAAGTTAGAATTGCTTGTGTTAGCATACAATATCATGCTTGGAGATTGATGGTACTGTTTATATTTTGCAGAATGTGATGGTGGTCAGCTGTGTATATCCTACGTCAGAGTAAGTTTTCTGTCATGTTTCTCTACCTACAACTTTAGCTTATGTCTAAAAGTGTTTTATAGCAAAACATACTTTTGAAGTTGGGATCAGCTTTAAAGCTGTCTATCAAATCATTTTGGGTAGGCTAACAGTCAGTTGGATTTGCTGACTCACTCTGCCTCTTTTAAAGGAAAAATGGGGCAACCAGTGTAAACAGAATGAATGGAGTGATGTTCCCTGGCAATACCTCTATTTATTCACGAAGGTGAGAGCTACCTACTTGTCAATGGTTGATGTTCAGTTATGCAATTTATCTACATTTTATAACATAAAACGGGTGGAGAACCCCAATGAAACCCAGCAGTCTTTCTTTCCAGGGATCCCTGAACATAGGGGGAGAAGGTTTAGTAACTTACTCCTACCAAATATGCTAGTCATACAGTGGATGGCAGTGTAGTTTATCTTCTTGTTATTACACTGAACAAAAATATAAACGCAACATGCATCAATTTCAAAGATTTTACTGAGTTACAGTTCATACAAGGAAATCAGTCAATTGAAATAAATTAATTAGGCCCTAATCTATGGATTTCACATGACTGGGAATACAGATATGCATTTGTTGGTCATAGATGCCTTAAAAAAAAGGTAGGGGCGTGGATCAGAAAACCAGTCAGTATCTGGTGTGACCACCATTTGCCTCATGCAGCGTGACACATCTCCTTCACATAGAGTTGGTCAGGCTATTGATCGTGGCCTGTAGAATGTTGTCTCTCTCCTCTTGAGAGCTGAACCTCGGCAAGACGGAGCTGCTCTTCCTCCCGGGGAAGGACTGCCCGTTCCATGATCTCGCCATCACAGTTGACAACTCCGTTGTGTCCTCCTCCCAGAGTGCGAAGAGCCTTGGCGTGACCCTGGACAACACCCTGTCGTTCTCCGCTAACATCAAGGCGGTGACCTGATCCTGTAGGTTCATGCTCTACAACATTCGGAGAGTACGACCCTGCCTTACACAGGAAGCGGCACAGGTCCTAATCCAGGCACTTGTCATCTACCGTCTGGATTACTGCAACTCGCTGTTGGCTGGGCTCCCTGCCTGTGCCATTAAACCCCTACAACTCATCCAGAATGCCGCAGCCCGTCTGGTGTTCAACCTTCCCAAGTTCTCTCACGTCACCCCGCTCCTCCGCACACTCCACTGGCTTCCAGTTGAAGCTTGCATCTGCTACAAGACCATGGTGCTTGCCTACGGAGCTGTGAGGGGAACGGCACCTCCGTACCTTCAGGCTCTGATCAGTCCCTACACCCAAATGAGGGCATTGCGTTCATCCACCTCTGGCCTGCTGGCCCCCCTACCTCTGCGGAAGCACAGTTCCCGCTCAGCCCAGTCAAAACTGTTCGCTGCTCTGGCACCCCAATGGTGGAACAAGCTCCCTCACGACGCCAGGACAGCGGAGTCACTCACCACCTTCCGGAGACACTTGAAACCCCACCTCTTTAAGGAATACCTGGGATAGGATAAAGTAATCCTTCTACCCCCCCTTACCCCACCCCAAAGAAAAAAAGAAAAAAACATATTGTAAAGTGGTTATCTCACTGGCTATAAGGTGAATGCACCACTTTGTAAGTCGCTCTGGATAAGAGCGTCTGCTAAATGACGTAAATGTCTTCAATAGCTGTGCGATGTTGCTGGATATTGGCGGGAACTGGAACACGCTGTCGTACACATCAATCCAGAGCATCCCAAACATGCTCAATGGGTGACATGTCTGGTGAGTATGCAGGCCATGGAAGAACTGGGACATTTTCAGGTTCCAAGAATTGTGTACAGATCCTTGCGACATGGGACTGTGCATTATCATGCTGAAACATGAGGTGATCGCGGCAGATGAATTGCACGACAGTGGGCCTCAGGATCTCTTCACGGTATCTCTGTGCATTCAAATTGCAATTGTGTTCATTGTCCTTAGCTTATGCCTGCCCATACCATAACCCCACCGCCACCATGGGGCACTCTGTTCACAACGTTGACATCAGCAAACCGCTCGCCCACACGACGCCATATACTCCGTCTGCCATCTGCCTGGTACAGTTGAAACCAGGGTTCATCTGTGAAGAGCACACTTCTCCAGTCTGCCAGTGGCCATTCGAAGGTGAGCATTTTCCCACTGAACTGCAGTCAGGAGTCAGACTCTGGTGAGGATGATGAGCACGCAGATGAGCTTCCCAGAGACGGTTCCTGACAGTTTGTGCAGAAATTCTTCAGTTGTACAAACCCACAGTTTCATCAGCTGTCCGGGTGGCTGGTCTCAGACGATCCCGCAGGTTAAAAAGCTGGATGTGGAGGTCCTGGGCTGGCGTTGTTACACGTGGTCTGCCTCCAAATTCTCTAAAACGACGTTGGCGGTGGCTTATGGTAGAGAAATGAACATTAAATTATCTGGAAACAGCTCTGGTGGACATTCCTGCAGTCAGCATGCCAATTGCACGCTCCCTCAAAACTTGAGACATCTGTGGCATTGTGTTGTGTGACAACTGCACATTTTAGTGTCCTTTTATTGTCCCCAGCAAAAGTTGCACCTGTGTAGTGATCATGCCGTTTAATCAGCTTCTTGATATGCCACACCTGTCAGGTGGATGGATTATCTTGGCAAAGGAGAAATGCTCACTAACAGGGATGTAAACACATTTCTGCACAAAAATTGACTGGGTACTTTTATTTCAGCACGTGGGACCAACACTTTACATGTTACGTGTATAATTCGATTCAATTGCAACAATATGATTGAATGAAAGCGTGTTGGATTTTGCATATAGAGATTATTTCCTCTCTCCTTATGGTAGGAATATAAATGGACCAGGCACCCCAAGGCCACTGAACAGACCAAAGCTATTGCTATCCACCTCTCTGGCTACAAACGGTCTCCCTGACAGCACAGACGATAAGGAACCACTCACAGAACAAGAGGAGGAGCATGTTGTCAGGTAACTAGCATTGTGTGAAAGCCAGGTGACTGTCAGCAGAACACTCTGTAAATGTTACATAAGACCTAGAGCAACTGGTTATCTGATGTTTTGACGCTTTCTTTAGTGATTCCTCGGTATCGGAAAGTGATGCCACAAAAACCAGTCTGATGAAGACCAAGCATCCAGAAGAGGATGCAACGGAGGCAGAGATCCATTCAGTCAAGAGGCTGAAGTTTGAGAAAGACATGGATGAAGATGAGATGTCTGGTCCTGCACCTGCCCAAAGCTCAGCAGACATGCCAGAATCGTCAACGGACATTGTTGAGGAAGAAAAAGACAAGTCTGCTGATATGCTCACCACAGACGATCATGGTACTTTTTTTGAACAATGGGGCATTTTTAAATAACACTATATGGCTGTATTTACACAGGCAGCCCAATTCTGATCTTCTTTCCACTAATTAGTCTTTTGGCCAATCAAATCTTTCACATCAGATATTTTCCGGAGCTGATCTGATTGGTCAAAAGACCGATTTAGTAGAAAGTAATATCAGAATTGGGATGCCTGTCTAAACACAGCCTAAGATTGTGAAAGGGAAAGTTTGACATGGGTCCAAGAATAACATTGCTAAAATGGATTAATTGATTTATGGAAGGCTGTAATGGTATTCTTGCCTTCTGTCCTCCAGAGCCCTCCAGCACTCAGACAGAAGAGCCCTTTGATGAGGAAGAGACGGCGGAGACATCAGAGAGAGAGGCCGAGTCTGGCCCTACTAACAGTCTAAAAAGTGACAGCACCATGGACCAGTCAGAGGAGCAGCTTGATCAGTCAGGGAAAGATTTAAGTTTAGAGGAACAGGGGGAAGGGGATTGCAGCGACCCAGTCAGTAGCAGTAGCAGCAATGGGGAGGGAGCACCCAGTGAAGAGCCTGTCCCATCTGCCTCTCCCAGCAGTAAAGCTGAGTCGTTGGCAGAGGGCGCTGCAGCAGAAAACAGTTCAGAAAGCCCAGAGACTGCAGATGAGCCCATGGAACAGGACTAACCTGAGGGCCACCCAACATTATTTTACACTGTATGATACTGTAACTGTTCCACACCCAGGAGATCTCTACCACTGTGGACTTGTAGTCTCCCAGGACAGGGGGGATTTTTGTGAGGCCTCAGGATTTTCACCCTCGGGTCTCTTCACGCCTTATGACCCACCCACCTCCTGACAGCCACGCATCAGTCCGATTTTAAAAACGTTATTTAAAGTTCCCCTTCAGCTAGGTTTTTTTCAAGCCTGTGGCATTCATTTACACATGAAATGCCTTTATCACCCTGATTTTTTTTTTTCTTCTCCTGTATCACTGTCATTTTAATATGTACTGCTATTTTAGACGCCAATTCCAAAGCTGCTTGGTTAACATTGTGATGTAGAAGGATCAGTCATTATTCAGTGTTTGTTGTGGTCTTCATCTGTGGTAAATATTTCATGTTGGCCGGCCCAGTTAGGTTCTCTGGATCTGTGGGATGCCTTGGGTTTTCCCTGGGTAAAGTGACCGTTTACAGCTATGTTTTGTTTTTGGTGTGGTAGTTTTCCTCACTTTGAAATGTAAAGTGTAGAGAACTGGCCATGACATCTGTACCATAAACCCACTGGAAGCCCTGCAAGTTTGCTAGTCTTGCAAAGTAAACATACAGAAACCATGGATTGCAACCGATCCTCCTCATGTTCTATGATTTGAACAATACAGATATAGCTGTGAACCAAATGCTTTAAACTGTCCAGTGAAAATCTCACTTTGAAAAGCTCATCTGTTAACTTGTCCTGTTGTATTTGTAGCCAAAGCAGAAATTAAGAGAAATACTTCAAAAACTCAACCTCAAACCTCAGACTGTTACAAAACTGCTTGCCATTTCTTTTTTTGGCTGAGATGGTATTTTTCTGTCAGATTTAAAGGAATGGTCCAGAACTTTTGTATAATTGTTTTGAAAGTGGTGCGCATGAGCCAAAACGGGTCCTTGTTTTTTGTGTGCAGCGTCATCCATTTCGTATGATATGCTACATCCTGCTTTACATTTTTGTATTCATATGATATGTTACTAATCCAAATGTTACTAATTTGTTGTGCTTAAGATCCCGGACTGCATCTTCAATCAAAAGATGTGAAAACATGGCATTTAATTCTCAATCTTTTTAATTGAATGGCATCTTTCTTAAACTTCAGACATCCATATCAACTAAATTAAACTTTAAATCACAAAATGATCGGTACTGCTGTCACATGGTATAACAAGAAGCTTGTTTTGATTTGATTTTGAGCGTTTACTGGCTGCCATATCTTTACTTGTTTCTGCAACTGTCCTTTTTTATATATTAGGATTTTACATGTTCACTGCCTTTGTGAAACAGTCTCTGAATGCTTGGGCTTTCAACACCGTATTCATATGAAGCAATAAATGCTAACATTTTAAGTGTGAGGTATGCTTAATTTGTATCAAGAAAGTCATACCTTTTGCCAACTATGGCTACATCATTTGAATACATCACATCCTTATCTGTACATTTTCAGAGAAAGCATTTGTTATGACAGTATCTCCAAATGGCCTTGACACTCATGCATAGCAGGCTGATGCTTATCCCTGTCCTTATGAAACACAGTCAGCACATTACATGAGCCAAGAAATGCTAGGCAGGGGTATGTGTTCTGTCAACAGTGCTCTACTATAGGAAACAAGGACAGTCAGTCTCATAGGGGTTTATGTAGCTCACCCTCCTACATAGTCACTATTTGATTAAAGTTTCTTACATCAGGATTTTCCCATCACTTTTGTCTTCATTACAAAGATGTAACAAGGAGTATTTGGAGACATTCAACTGGTGAAATATGTTAGGCCTACTACTGAGCCATGGAATACAAAAATATATTTTCATGTTGATGTACTTGGGCTAATTATGGCTCAAGCAGAGCACATGTGTACACAGGTTATCAAGTAAGGTCCTATAAATAGCATCACCTAATTAGAGGGATTACCAAATGCCTGGCCTCTATGATTCATAACATTTGCAAACAAAAAGGAGGAACCCATGTAGGTGACATTGTAACTAACCTTTAGGTAGACCTAGGGCTCGTTTGAGTGGCAAGGCTGAAGCAACAGACTAGACAAAAGTGAGTGAAGTCAGTGGAGGTGCATATGCGACAGCCGAAAGTCTGACACTGGTTTTCCAAACGCAAGGCTCAGATCATCATGACAGTGTTGTCATTGTTTATTAAAGTTTTTCTTAGTCCAAATAAACATGCCTCCAACCGGCTTCCCGAGTGGCGCTTGAGGCGTCACTACAGACCCGGGTTCAATCCCAGGCTGTCACACAACCGGCCGTGACCGGGAGTCCCATAGGGCGGCGCACAATTGGCCCAGCGTCGGGTTAGGGGAGGGTTTGGCCAGGGGGCTTTACTTGGCTCATCGCGCACTAGCGACTCCTTGTAGCGGGCCGGGCGCCTGCAGGCTGACTTCGGTCGTTAGTTGAACAGTGTTTCCGCCGATACATTGGTGCAGCTGGCTTCCGGGTTAAGCAGGCGGGTGTTAAGAAGCGCGGTTTGGCGGGTCATGTTTCAGAGGACGCATGACTCGACCTTCGGGAGTTGCAGCGATGAGACAAAATTGTAATTGGATCGCAATTGGATATCACGAAATTGGGGAGAAAAAGGGGGTAAAATACAAAAAATATACATGCCTCCAACCACACACTCAAACTCAAATCAAATGAGTACAATCAAATTGAGTGTCCACGCTAGCCTACACATGAATGGCAGCAAAGTTGGTTGTTGTTTCAGTCACATCGTTGGTCACGTTCGTGTAGGTCGGAACTAACAAAGATTCACTAACAACCTAAATGAAACGTGGTGTTCTAGTAAGGGGTTATGAAAGACACTCATGGGGGTGTTCACTAGCAACAACAACTGAGCCCTAAAAGACACCCACCATGAGCGCCCACTACATTTTCCCAAGAGGCAAACAAAATAAATCTCACACCAAACTTAAAAGACAGGAAGCAAACCATAAAGTGGATCTGATAAAGGATTGTTTTTTTAGAAATCAAAACTAGGGAGAGCCAACAAATGGCGTTAACCCTCCACATCGCTCAAGCCAACTAGCACACTGGGCCGGCCACTCTTAAATATCACCTGGGCCAGCACTGGTGAAACACCTAACTAACGAGATGACAAGCCAGCACAGGTGTAAAGAATATTGCCTAACGAGGTGACACCAATCGGTGCGCCCAACGCGCTAACGTCCAACCTCGGAACCTTGGAAGAACCAAAGCCTGTAACAGTAAAGTTCATGCAGTTGGCATGTAGGCGCAAGTCGAAACATTTCTGTCCCCATAATGCAACACACTTTGAAAGGCGATGACCAACGGTGGTTACCTACTTCAGGGTTTCCCAAAGTCTGCCCTGGGGCCACCACTGGGTGCACATTTTGGTTTTTGCTTTAGCACTACACAGCTGATTCAAATAACAAACTCCTCATCAAGCTTTGATTATTTTAATCAGCCGTGTAGTGCTAGGCCAAAAACCAAAACGTGCACCTAGGGGAGGGGCCCCAGGACCAACTTTGGGAAACCCTGACCTACTTGACAAAAGTGATCCGCTTAAAAGTGCCCATGGACTTCATACTTAATCTAGTTCTGGGAAACTGGTCCTGTACTTTTTCTTTCAGTTGATCAATTTCCTCATGTCACACTGATCAAAGAAAAATGTCAAATGAACAGCTCTTCCCTTTAGGTTTATAGTAGTCTACATTACCAGTTCAGTTAGCAGTTTGAAGCATCTTTATACCTATTATTGTGTTCAGCACCTGTCTGCAGTAGTTCTAGCAGCTCACTTGCCTTGGACTGATAGGATTTCCCATACTGACCCTTGAGCAATATTTAGGAGATAGACAAAGGCAACTCTTCTCATGATCTCACTATGAACTAATTGATCCAGACAGTAGGTATGTATTCCTAATCCCTTGTGTCATGTGATCCACAATAGTCCTTGCCCAGTCTCTACCCTCAGTGCAGCATTGGGAGACCAGGGATAATACTAACTCACTGTTTCTGTATGGAAATATTGCATTTTCCTTCAGTAATAGTACAGACACAGTGGACTGATTCAAAAGGTGCAGTTGTGATGGTAATGGGGACATAGTTGGAAGAGAAGGAGCGTCCAAAGAGCAGAGCTACACCACTGACTGACAGACAACTTTCAATCATGAGTGACAACCTCTTCAACTAAGGAGTCCAATACAAAATGAGACAACACCTTCAACTAAAGAGGCTCTTCAAAGTATTTGATAACTATTTCCGTGATGGGTCAGCGACTGAGTGAGGAGAGTGACTCAGACCAGGAAATTGATGTTGCAGAGCTGCAGGAGTGGTATAAGAAGTTTGTGGTGGAGTGCCCAAGTGGAACACTCTATATGCACGAGTTCAAGAGCTTCTTCGGCGTCACTAACAACAAGGCGGCGGATTATATTGAGAATATGTTCCGCGCCTTTGACAAGAACGGAGTGAGTAGCATACAGATTACAGTAATCTGATGGGGGCCTTTGAGGGCCACAGTGACCACATGTCTTTCAAGTGATAACTGTTGAACACCTTTTCTCTTCATTTCAGTATTTATTGATGAGTATCATTTCAATCTTTTATGATTTTTTTCCCCCTTTGCCGGACAACACAATTGATTTTCTAGAGTATGTTGCAGCCCTGAACCTGGTCTTGAGGGGCAAGTTGGAACATAAACTGAAATGGACTTTTAAAATGTATGACAAAGATGGAAGTGGCTGCATTGACAAGACAGAGCTGCTGGAGATTGTAGAGGTAACAACAAACATTTTCCAGTCGTTGAAAGATTAGTGTATGATTAAATAAAATACAGTATTTCTATACACATGTATACATATGGGATATAATTCCAAAATGTTATTATCTTTTCTCAGTCCATCTACCGACTGAAGAAAGCCTGTCATGGAGTACTGGATTCGGAGTGTAACCTCCTGACCCCAGATCAAGTGGTCGACAGAATATTCGAACTGGTGGATGAAAACGGAGATGGTGAGGATGTTTTCTTTACCCCCTTACTGTTCTCTGACAGCTTGATCTGTGGTTTTTAATAATTTAGCAGGTTCTCACTGTGATTTCCATAACCATTATGGCTGTGTGTAACACACACAGACATGTACAGTATTTGCCATTTAGCACTCTTTTATCCAAAGCGACTTAGTCATTAATGTACACATTCCAGAGTATTTTGAAAATTGGACAATGGGTGAGTAATGTTTTTCCTTCGGTGTATGTGTTTTAGTTTCACTAGTAAATGGGTAATGCTAAATATTTCTCTGTCTCTGGATGAGTTCATTGACGGGGCCAGGAGAGACAAGTGGGTGATGATGATGCTGCAGATGGACGTCAACCCTGGGGAATGGATCAATGAACGGCGACGTAAGAGCTCTGGAGTGAGCTCTGAAGCTAGACCTCTGCAATAAGTTTCTGGACTACTTTCAATCAAAAGCTGAATCCATCTACCAGCAGCTTCAGCTATCCTGTGCCGGCAGACACTACCACCATGCCCACGTAGACCGTGGACGCTTGTCCAGAGGGGGCAATCACTGCTCTAATAACTCCCTCTCTCCCTGTAAACAGCCCACACACCATAACTTGTCACGTGTTTTATAACCTTTGTTTTCTCTTTTGAAATCCCTAATGTGTACATATCAATGTGTTTCTGTTTGCCCTGATGGTTGTGTGTGTTCCACTACTCTTGATTGCATTTTGTATGTGCAGGCAACAGTGAAAGGGACCAGTTTTCTCCATCTAATTATATGATTGAAAGACATCATGTAGGGGCAGATCGTAGAGTTCATTTTGCTGTGTTTTGCTGGTAAAAAAATGCATCCATCTGATTTGGGGGCTTATACTTGATGAGGTTCTGAGAGTTTCAATAGAGCTGACAATATAGTACGCCAGTCTTATTACATTTGTGGCACCATTTTTGCATTTTTAGAACTTTAGGGCACCACCTCTTTTTATGTATGTTGAACTTGAAATCCATATTTATTTGAACAGTAAATGTGTATGAAGATGCATAATAAACACCTAGCCCAATATTGGACTAAAAGAAGCTTACCGTTACTCCTTAGTCCAAGGACCTTACATTTTCTGTTTAAAGGGTGAATTGGCTCTGGAAGCCAAAACAGCCAAATACGCCATCTAAAAGTGAATCGATTCTCAATTGCGGTACGTTTGTAGGAACATAAATCCCTCTACTTTCATATCACATCAAAATAATGATACAAATGCAAAATACACATGCACTTACTGTAAACTGTTTTAACAGTTACAGCCAACAATATTTCAGTGACAACATGTTTGCGGGCTCCCCACACAGGTATTCGGAGATGCAGATAGCTCATTAGCACAGGTAGTCTTCTGTTTTCCATAAACAAGCGCTGTAACATGGAAATATGGCTGTGTGGGAACCCTAACCCTATAATTAATGGTGTGTATCAATTTAAAAAATTTTTTATGATCATTTCTCACTAATATGAAAGATAGGGTTCTTATGCTTCCAAAACCGTACCACAAGCGATGCGTGTTAATGTTCAGATCGAGCGTTGCGGCTATTAACAAAACTTTCCCATACAGAAGACACTTCATCCAACGACTCTTACGTGTAGGCCTAATGTAATGGAACTGAGTCTTGATCAAGGGCTAGTTATAAACTGGGTGGTTCGAGCTCTGAACGCTGATTGGCTGACAGCTGTGGTATATCAGACCTTAAACCATGGGTATGACCATTTTTATTTTACTGCTCTAATTACATTGGTAACCAGTTTACAATAGCAATAAGGCAACCTTCGGGGGTTTGCGGTATATGGCCAATAAACCACGGCTAAGGGCTGCGTTGCGTCATGCATAAGAACAGCCCTTAACCATGGTATATTGGCCATATACCACACCCCTCGGGCCTTATTGCTTAAATAAACACCCATGTTGACCTATTGTATGGAATGTAAGCCTATTATATAGCCCTGGCCCCAGACTAAATGCACTATCAATTTAATGTCTCGTTCAAAACAACTGGAAACTCAGAAAAATACGAGGTCAATTCATGACGTCAGTGATTTTCAGGTCGGAAAGTCGGAGCTCTAGATTTATTTTTCCCAGTCGGAGCTAATTTTGTTCTGAGTTCCCAGTTGTTTTGAATGCCGATTTTTTTGTTGTTGGGACTTTTCCCAGTCGGAGCTAGTTTTTTTCTGAGTTCCCAGTTGTTTTGAACGCCGATTTTTTTGTTGTTAGGATTTTTCCCAGTCGGAGCTCGTTTTTTTCTGAGTTCCCAGTTGTTTTGAACGCTCGGAAGTCAGAGATTTCCGAGTACCCAGTTGTTTTGAACGCAGTACGAGGGTAGCTCGTGACTATATCATAAAATAACCGGACAATATGAAAATCTTATGCCGCGTTCACGTACTAGTCGGAACTAGGAAACTCAAATGTCCGACTTGCTTTGACAGTATTCGCTTTCAGCATTGATGGTGGAGGTTCTTCTTCTTCTGTGGGTTTTATGGCAGACTACAACCCAAAACGTTGTATTGCCGCCACCAACTGGACGGGTTGAAACCAAAACAAGGTAAAAAGTAAATCCATACGTGATAGGGAAACTAACTTAATCCAGCCAAATAAAATAGTACATTGACAAAACAAAACTCCCACTTCTTCCTTCTTTCAATTCTCCATATCTACCTTCTCAGGTTCTAGGGCCTGAGAGGGTTGTATGGCTTGTGACAATATTCCATGTAACTACTTCGCCGAGGAATCTTTCAGCCCCAGGAACCGCTCCCACAATGATTTCTAACTTCCTGGACCTTCTCTCCACCTTGGCAGTGCCATTTATTACCATAGCTATAAAGGCCACCTTCTTAACCTTTAAAATGTCAGGATCCTGCTGGTGAAAGGCAACCCCTGCAGCCTGCAGTGAAGGCCTATCCACCACCATGAACTCTTCAGGAGCACCATTCAAACCCTCAACCCTTTTAACAGCTGGTGCATATGATATGCTCTGAATAGCCCTGTCTTTGGCCACCTCATTCTCTTTCACCCTTATGGGGCATTCAAAAGACGTGGCTTCATGGTTCCCACCACAATTGCAACATGTCACATTTTCATTACTTTTATAACACATAATATTATCTTTTCCACAACTTAGACATCTCAGCTTCTCCCTTCTGCAAACACTTGAAACAAGCTTTACAATGATCACACTGCATTGGTCTTGGGATATGTTAAATTGCGTCAATTCAAATCTGGTATTGGAACAAAAAGAGGTCAATACACGTCTTCTAAAATAGACTAGTATTTTAATTAATGCAAAACACTTCAATGGTAAATATGATGTTCGTATATACGGGTCCACTGAAATACCACGCAGGGCAGACAGAGAACTGAGCCATTGTCATAAGTTCTTCTTTAAATACTCTGACAGAGATAGTTCCTGCTCCCTGCTGGCCTATCAGAGTAGAGACTGAGCGTGGTTTAGACTTACTCAGCCTATCGTTGGCGCACAGGCTGGTCCCAGTCCCTTGGCGCTTCACTGTTGCCAGGCACTAGTTGTTATCCTCACAACTTGTCCCGAGTCAGCAACCTCAGACATCTTTGTAGCAGAACACATGTCCTTGAGTGGTTTAACAAAGAGGCAGTGTGTGTGTATGTGAGACACAAGTCTTATCTCATCCTACCCCCTAACATTCCTCACATTAATCACAGCTTGTTATATTAAACATTCTATATCAGTACAGCACAAACCTATTATGTTTAATCATTAATGTATTCTTTGTAAGCTAACAGCACATCTAAAATATAAGAGAATAATTTCCCACAGATAAATGGTCTGACTCTGTAGTTAATATACCCTAACTGCACTTGAGTAGGGAGAGACTCCATATCAAAAAACAAAAGAACAGATAGACTCTTCACTTTTTCTTCATTCACCACAAGATTCATCCGACATTTATCAATCACTCCAGGAATATTTTTCATCTCTTCAACATCTACTTCCCATGAGACTCCAGATATAATCCCCTTGAGGGGTGCCCTGTTCCTAAGAGACACTTCAAATTTATCAAATCGGGTGAGACATAGCACACGTTTCTTCTGATCCTCAGATGCACAAAAAAATCTAAACCAGCCCCCCTCTCATGATCCTCACAGCCTTCACTCTACCCAGCACTCTCTCCACCAGTTTGGATATCTCAAATGGATTCCTCAAGATTGGTAATTCGATCAACTGCTCCTCATTTACAAACCGTACATTCTCATCACTGTACTCTACTTTGTTCCGTTTTCCTTTCTTTTGGACAATATTCAAATTCTCCTGGATTCTACCGCCATTATATTCAGAATCCACCTCATCATCCGCTTCCGCCATCTTTTTTCCGTCCCTGATGGTGGAGGTACTGGAGCACGAGCATAATGGACCTCTAGTTCCTCTTACCTTAGATATGAAATGATTGGATAGGTTTAAGCAGCTTTGCCTTGGATAGGCTGGGAGGAATTTCCATCTGACACGAAGAGGAAGTCGATTGCTAGCTGGTAATGGCCACATTTTGAGAAACTGAACGACTTCGACGCTAGCTCAGTAAATTGCTAAATTAAGAAAAATGAATCAAAGTTAGCTTTATGCAATAGTCAGACAAATGTGCTTGCTCTATTAGATGACTGTAACGTTAGTGCTAGCTAATAATGCATGTTCAAATAATCAAATGCACTTTCATTTAGCTCGCAGTGGCATTGGTTTAGCTCGCAGTTAAAACAATTGCCTATCCCTCCCTCTACCTGGTTGATTACAGCTCACCAGTCATATAATGTCAACTGTATCTGAAGAACCAGTGAGCTCTATTGACAAATATAAGGTATGTATAACTGTAATGTAAATGTAAATATAAGGTAAGTGGCCATCATGAAAACACCTAGCCATAATAGATTCTGACCCTACGCTTTCTTACAGCTGCACTGGGTCTGACAGGCTCCCTGTTTAGATTGACACCACAGAGCCAGTGCGAGATATGGCTCGTGAGAAATGCATTGTACTCTGAATTGGCCCATTATCCCAACTGTTACACCAAGAAGTTTGAACGACTTATAGTTTTTCTGGAAAGCTGCCCTTTATGTCCTCATGCTAGGTAGCAGTAGCCACAGCAGCCATTATGGAATGGCATGTCGTGTCGAACAACATAGGAACTGATTAGCTGACACTGCCATTCCAAAATGGCTGCTGTGGCTTCTGCTACCTACCATGAGGACAAAAAGGGCAGGTTTCTAGAAAAACTAGAAGTCGTTCAATCTTCTCAGTGTAGCAATTGGGATAATGGGACAATTCGGAGTACAACAGATTTCTCATCCCTGGATTGAGGTACGTTTTCTTATCGTGCTGGCTCCGCGGTGTCTTCATCTAAACAGGAAGCCTGTTTAACCCCAGTGCAGCTGTAAGCAAGTGTAGTGTCGGAATCTGGCTAGAAAACACCATACTTAGCTAGTAGGTAATGCTTCCATACCGTTAAATGGCATTTAATAAATGCCCATGTAGTTACAGTCCTACGTAGCAAGCTAGCTACTTACCTGGAGCTAGGGTAAAGGACAGAGGTTGGAAAACTTTGGCATAGCTAGCTAGATACTTTATCCAAGGTTTTGGAAAGTGGTGGCTGGTTCTGTGGTGTAATGCTGCCCTCTCTTGGCCAGAATGCAGAAGGTGGCTGGAGCCTGCGTCATGTGAAGCGGGACCTGTTCTCCTGTCCTGAAGATGAGGCCCTGGCCCACTGTATCAGCGAAGACTGTCGCATGGGGGCAGGCATCGCTGTCAAATTCAAGAAAACATTTTGTGGCGTAGACGAGCTGAAGAAACAGAGTGAGTCCTGTGTATTCATGTTTGTTGTTATGCACGCTGCATGCTATGGAAGTATGTTGTGATGTGCCATTTTCACTTCAAAGTACGCACTACAGATAGAAAGGCATGGTATACATTATAAGCCCATGTCATTGATCAAGATCACTGTCTACTGTTTTTTACTTCAGTGAAGGTGCCAGGGCAATGCGCTGTACTGAAAAGATACAAGCGTTTTGTGTACTACCTGGTAAGATGCTTGCCACTATATACCAACCAACTAAACATATAAAGCCTTATTTTGTGATCTTTTATGGTCTCTCTCTCTTACAGATTACAAAAGAAAAATACAGCCACAAACCCACCTATGACAGCCTACGGAAGAGCCTCGAGGACATGAAGTCTCATTGCTTACAAAATGGAGTAACTGGAATATCAATGCCTCGGTTTGTATAAGTACATTCTACACAAAAAAAATCACCATTATCTTGACATTTTAATTATTTTGCATTTTGTTGGTAAGCTGACTCAACTTCCATTTTTCCTATCCTTCTATTCTACAGCATCGGCTGTGGCCTTGATGGACTGAGTTGGGATAAAGTGGAGGAGATGCTTGAGCAGGTATTCCAGCCCACAAATATAAGAATCACTGTGTATACGCTCCCTGTAAAACCCACAGGGAAACCAAGTCCACGGGTGACACCAAGTATCCATTGATGTTTTCTGTAAACCAAAGTAAATAATATATATCAGGAACATTTGTTATGGTTATATTCTCTATCACCTTTTATCATAGGCTCCAAGTGTGTTTTTCAACTCTTATGACAATGGGTTTTGTGTGAAATAAAACTCAGACCATATCGTGTTGTGACACAGTGTGTACATTTCAAGTGTCTCAATGCCAGGTTTACGCAGCACACCGATATGCACCTGTGCAATGTTTGCTGAAAGTTTTACTTTCAAAAGGTAACAAATTAAATCACAAAATATAACACTTTACCTTAAGAATCATATCCTTTACCTCCTAATCTTTATTTTACCCATGTGTTTGATGGTTTTCTGAAATTACAGGTGCATATTTTTCATGTTAATTATGACCCTTTACAGTAGAGCTGTTCTCCACCAGAAGGGGGCACCAATGAGTTTTCTCCACATCGTTTCTGTGGTGTGATCTGTGCAGGTTTTTGTCATATGCTGTAAATACACTGTAATGCACAAGTACCTCACATGAGCATGACTTATGAAAACTAAATAGCTGTTTTGCAGTAATAAAATCAAATGTGTTCTACACCTTTCGCTAGACCTGTGGTTCTTATAAATCTTAAGGTTTAGGTTGACTGTCCAGTGTAAATGGTGATATGTCATCTGTCGATAATATTCACCTTGTGACTAAATGTAGCTATATCACCCATCATACCATACAGGAGGACAGATGATCTGGAAAAATACATTTAGTCACTCCTAATACCCATCTCTTCATCTACTGACTAGGGCTGTGCATCAGGCTTTGCTCATGAGTCATAAGCTTGATGCTGTGGACTCTGAAAGCTACCTTTAATGTGATTCTAATGCTATGACCATCACAAAAGACTCAGCGTGGTGCAGCTGCTGCAGATATGGCCACGGTATTGTATGATGTAATGTTGATCTTGAGTGTATTGTACTGTAAAAGCAGCTGAAAGATGATGCACCAGATGTAAGGGAGGGTGGGGAAAAGGGATAGGGAATCTGACACCACAAAGTCAAACCCACTGAACCATTTTATGTGCATGCCCTCCTGTACATCAACCCCTCCTCTACATCAAGCCCTTCTCTACATCATGAAACTTGAGTCGAATGCACACAAAACCAGCCATCCTTTCGCCGGATTGCCTGTAGTTACAGTACTCGAAAGGAATAGCATATTTTGCCATTTATAATTATTATAAATCAAAATTTGGTTGTGGTAACACGAGCGTACAATAGTTAGCTAGACAGTGTACAGTCTCTCACAGGTCTTCTAGTGAAAAGACAGAGCAGTAGTCTGCTGCCTGGCTTTGCCCCCACCCACTCCCCATGCCTCCTCTGGGGCACCTTCAATAATTCATGAGGAAAATGTGTTCGCCACTGGGTACACTGCCTTGATCCCTCTATTCCTGGCTGGAAGACTGTCGGCATCACTGCATTCGACCCCCTCCTCCCATCCCCATTTACACAGCAATTAGACTGCACTCTGCAGCGAGCCCTGGGAAATTGCCCTTTTATCTGGCCTGAGCCTCCTCTGACACATCACTGTACTGCAGAGGTCCATCACAGACTGCAGAAATGCAGTGGTCGTCTTCGACTTGTGTCTCAAAAAGCCTAACTGGCAATATGCTGAATCCTAGCTCGGCGTGCCTGTGTTTGTCCTATAGCAGCTCACTGTTTTGCTACTTTCCTTAGCTCCCTCCTAACACTCACTCACTCTTTTTCTCTCATGCCCTCCCTCCTTCCTCCCTTCCCTTATTTTTTACGCTCTGTGTTTGAATCTGTAGAGCTCAGCACTCTTCTCCACAGGCACGTCAGAGAAAAAAAGAGCTAGGCGGGAGGGGTCCTGATGCACCATGAAACTGCCCCTCCCAATTAAAGCACAGCGCTTATGTTATTGAAGAGCAGCTTAGCCAATGAGGTGGCGGTACAGGCCGATACAGCAGTAAAAAAAAAGCAGCAGAACGAGGGAAGAAAAAACTGCTGTGTGTGTAGTTTTTATCCCTCCCCATAGTTGATTTTTATTAATTTACTGTAGTAATGCATTCTTAGGGTGTGTGTGGATGAGGCAAGAGTCCACAGGACTGAGGAAAGGTGTGTTCTAGAACTAAGCACTAGTCCACACTTATTCATTCTAACACTGGAAATAAGAGAAAGTAATTCTTGAAGGAATATTCATTCTCTTTTTTACTATCTATCTCAAAGTGCCCTGAAGCTGCTAGAGACGTTTGCCCTGAGGAGGAAGAAACCCAGCACACAAGGTAAACTGATTTTCACATCTACTGTATGGGCTGGTGGGATGTTTTTAAAGTTATATATTTTTCTAATATAATTGTGGGTATGTTTCTCACAAGGGGGTTGTGATATGAAGTGTTACATATTGGAGCTAATTAATTTATAAATGTTTACATAATTCAGACTTTACAAGGAAGGAGAGAGAAGGCTAGAGTGGGACTCTGTGATGCTCCCAGCCAAGTTATTCTCTGTGCACACAGTTGTCAAGTGCAGCAGTATCCCATTTCAGTCCATAGATAGTGGAGCTTCCCCAGACCCCAGCATCTTGCTGACATGGGGCAAGGGGGACTTAATATAACCATGCAGTTTTTGTGAATTCAGAGCAAACTTGAAGTTTCCTGGGACGAGGCATAAATAAAATCTTCAAATGGAAATCATAAAAACAAATTTGAAGTTTGATGTTGATGGTTCAAATGTGAGGTCAGGTGGGGACAGGACAGGTGCATCACTTCACAGTGAAACAAATGTACTGCATAATGATATTCCCAAAATGGGATGATGTGTGCACTCTCGTTTTGTGTGCAGCCGTATGTGAATACTCGGTGATGTGATGCATGCATTTGGGTTGCTTAGATAACACATGCATTATTAATGGTGTGTAGAGATTGATCTGTCTTAATTAGGAATGGTGTGTAGAGAACTTGATAGTTCACTGGGACTGCAGGCACAGACTGAGCCGCAGTGAACTATCTGACAGAGAGGGTATGCTGGGCTGGAGGAATCTCCTTCCATGGAAAGAGGAGGGTTTCTCTCTCACCCCTCAGTGGTCACACAGTAGGAACCGCAGAGGAAAGTGATTTATTTGATGCTAATTTACTCCGGCCAGCAGTAGGCGCTGTTTCTTTCATCTGTTAGCCTATCTAAAATATTTGAGATGTGTCTAATAATCTTTATAGATAGTATTGTAAAATGAGTGAAGATGATCTTTTCATGATTTGCTGTTTATTTTTAAGGAGCAGCTCTGCTCTCCACAGGCAATTTACTTAATCTGGAAACCAGGTTCTGCATTATTTTGGGAGAGTAGTGTGAAGAATCTGTGTTTGTAAATGATTTACAGACCATGTCCTCATTCTGTCATTGAAAAGCAGCTGCTAAAATCTTCTGTGGAAAATCACTCTTCTAATATTGCTTTCTAAACAAGATGTAAAAGGAATTGAGGTTGTGTATTCATCACCATAGCTAGAGACGGGTTCCAGCACTTAACACAAGCCTGGGGCCCAAGTCCCCATAAGTGGAAGGTACCAGTGGTAAGGATACTCCCCCTCAGTAGGCAGGACAGGAGGAAAGCTAGGGAGGGTCGGGGACCCAGAGCTGCTGACCCCTAGATCCTTGCTCTATAATAGTCTGACCCAATCTCCCAGAGACATGATAGCAGCTTTGTGAGCTTATCCACTCTACTGTGGCAGTTGTGGACCAGACAGGGAGAAACCCACATTATTATTAATGTCTCTCTGCCTTTAATGAGCATGGTGGCTCTTTCTCTGAGAGATTGCAGAGCTATTTTAGTGTGCCCCATCATCAATATTTCAAACCAACATTTTATTTTACACTACACCACACACACTGTACCACTGCCAGCCCAGTACCATAGTGATAGGCGATGAGTAGTACTTCCCCAATTCTGTGAGCGACTTCAACAACTATCACATCCCTTCCTGTGCTTGCCAGTGGCAACAATGAATCACACATTAAAACACAGTCAGAACAATAATCTTCAAATGGAAATCATAACCATGCCGTTTCTGAAGTAGGCATACTACTGCATAGGCTAGTCTCAGTGAGTGTAACAAACATTTCTCAAAAATGACCAAATTATTAATAATAAGCTTAGATTTTGTATTCTGGAAAATGAGTAATTTATGACCTGATGTATATTTTGCAGATGATTATGCCAACAACACTTTAATGACATTGACACCCATGGCATTATGGAAGACTGTTCCTCTTCACATTATCTTGGGGATGAGGTTGAGAGACTCCCAGCAGGGTAGAGACATCACGCTGAGGAAGACACTCAGATAGCACTGCTGAGAAAATCCAGCTCCTAATAGGAACGCTGCAATGATACCCCTGACTGTGTCCTAGTATTAGCTGCTGTCCTCTATAAGACTGAAATTGTGAGAAGTTGAGAACCACTGAAATTTGAAGGAGCCTAAAAAGTACTTATCTTGAATTAGCATAGCGGGATTTGAAACAGCGGATATCTCGCTGTTGGCTAAAATCATTTGAGTATTGTAATCAGGATAGAACAGCTAGTGGAATGACTGGAATCAGTGTGGTCTTCAGTCAGAGGACCAATCACAACAACTGAAGGATAGAACCTGACTGCTGAATGAAATAGTATGACACCAACTATCCAATCACTCTTATGAAAGAGACAGGTCATGAATAAAGTAAGGAAAAATCAGACATGTAATGTATTAAAATAAAAAACTGAAATATCACATTTACATAAGTATTCATAACCTTCACTCAGTACTTTGTTGAAGCACCTTTGGCAGCAATTACAGCCTTGAGTCTACAAGCTTGGCACACCTGTATTTGGGGAGTTTCTCCCATTATTCTCTGCAGATCCTCTCAAGCTCTGTCAGGTTGGATGGGGAATGGTACCTGCACAGCTATTTTCAGGTCTCTCCAGAGATGTTTGGTCAGTTTCAAGTCCGGACTCTGGCTGGGCCACTCAAGGACATTCAGAGACTTATCCCTAAGCCAATCCTGCGTTGTCTTGACTGTGTGCTTAGGGTCGTTGTCCTGTTGGAAGGTGAACCTTCGCTCCAGTCTCAGGTCCTGAGCGCTCTGGAGCAGATTTTCATCAAGGATCTCTCTGTACTTTGCTCCGTTCATCTTTCCCTCAATCCTGATTAGTTTCCCAGTCCCTGCCGCTGAAAAACATCCCCACAGCGTGATGCTGCCACCACCACCCTTCACTGTAGGGATGGTGCCAGGTTTCCTCCAGATGTGACGCTTGGCATTCAGGCTAAAGAGTTCAATCTTGTTTCTCATGGTCTGAGAGTCCTTTAGGTGCCTTTTGGCAAACTCCAAGCGGGCTGTCATATGCCTTTTACTGAGGAGTGGTTTTTGTCTAACCACTCTACCATAAAGGCCTGATTGGTGGAGTGCTGCATAGATGGTTGTCCTTCTGGAATGTTCTCCCATCTCCACAGAGGAACTCTGGAGCTCTGTCAGAGTGACCATCAGGTTTTTGGTCACCTTCCTGACCAAGGCCCTTCTCCCCCGATTGCTCAGTTTGGCCGGGCGGCCAGCTCTAG